TAACTTTTACCGAAAATGGGTATTAAAGGAAGTTTAAGAAATGACAGTATATACCACTTTTTATTGAGATATTTTAAAAAACCTTCAGGATATCTTATTTAGACTTCAAAGCATTAATTTACATACTATTATGCAAATTCTATATGTTGCGAAAGGGGTAGTTTTAGGGGATGACTGTCACTGTTTTATCCTCAACTTTTTCATTCTTTTTCCATTTGAAATATACAGGGTGTTAAAAGTTTGACTGCCTTAATTTTAACAGATGATGGAATACATTAAAATAAACAAAAAACCTTTATTTCAGTTGGTATCTGGAATTGGACCGTGTCTAAGTGTTTTTTGCATACCACTATTTCCTTTTCTTGAGGTGTTTTCCAGCTAGCGCGCGAAAATTGGATGGTGGTGGACACTTTGAGCATATGTTGTAGTTTGTTTTGTACCTGTGCGTTTAAAAATTACTGAATTTTGTTTTTTGATCTAAAGTCACTAAATTATTTTTGATACGTATGGTGATGGACGACGTGAATTTTTGGGTACTTTAATTACATATTTTCCAAATTCATAATTTGATTGAAAGTTAAGTTCCTGTTTTAAGAGATTCATAATTACTAAAATTCGAGCTAAAATTTAAGCACAACACTATCTTCGTAGTACAAAATCGATACATTTTATTTTATTTATTTCAAAACTGGAAAACAATTGTCTTGAAATTTACTAAATATTTCACAACTTATAGTTGTTTACATTTTTTCCATAGGACAAGTCCGGCGAGTGCACACTGTATATGTACAATATTGTTTAATTAATAATTACAATTTTATCCACTTACTAGTTAAATCATCCACAGATTTTCAACAAACATTTTTCTTCGTGTAAGAGACGTGCCCAATAATGTGAAAATTGCTAGAACATTGTAGGTATTATTCTCCAATTCTGATTCACCGTTGTCTGTTAGCGATACTTTCCATAAGGATTTACAGTACCAATTAGATGGATGTACGAAAAGCAAAGAGTAGGCTGTTAAACCAAACAAATCGGTTTGTTTTTATGTGGACAAATAATTAGCAGGTGATCATTTCTAATTTGTTGCTGAATAACAGAATTTTTCTGCGAGCCGTCTTATCACTTCAAGAAATTAAGACTACAGAAGTTTATTTATAGATCAACGTCGTGTATATAAGCAAATGTTGTTTTTCCACCAGGCTAATTGTTGGTGGTTTGTTTTGGGGAGAGCACCGATTTTTTTATCAAAGTAGGCGAGATGAGAAATGTAAGTTTAACTAACTCTAACTAAAAGTAGAAAAGAATTATGTGCAATATTTCGAGGTGTGTCAAAAATGAAGGAGTTTTTTTCATTCTTTTCCCACAAGGTGATCTTTTAACTCTTTTGAATAGCTTTTATAATGTTAGTACAAATTAGTAATTTGTAACGATAAAATACTGAACGGTATAAAAATGAAGAAACATTTTCGTTGCCTAAATTTAATAATTTTTTTTATGCAAATATTTGCCATTGTTTTTTAGATACAGGGTTTGAAGTTTTAAAATGAATATCTTTCAGCAAATTTATTAAAATATTCAATAAAATCAACAACGACTTCTCAAATAAACGAAAAAATTTGGTATTTTAATTGTTTTTTATTTGTCCTTTTTGACATGTTCCTATTTTTATTTCTTGTTATTAGATTCAATATATTTTTATTTCATTCTTCACGATCTACAGTTAAAATCTTATTACTATTTTTTTTTTCAGATTCCTTCACTGATCTTCTTACTGGCGGTCTTGGCTTCGTCCATGAGCTTTCCGATGAACAACGCCGATTTCAACGCTGCTGCTTACAAAGAAGGCAGCGGTAATCCGAGGGCTTATCCGCAATATTATTATTATCCTGACCCTGCTCCTGTTCAACGGCGACAGGACGAGATCCTGGATACGGCCCATAGGGTGGTGTACACCCCCATATTTAGATATAAGAAGAAACTGTCGAAACAGCCGATTAAGAGAGATCCGTACCGTTATAGAAAAGTTAATAGGATAATGCCGGCGTATCTTATTTAGATTTAAGGATTATTTTAAAGCTGTTGGATGTAGTAGATATTTATTTATTTATTTATTACAACTGCCTGTTACTTTTTTAGGGAGATATATTTTGTTAATTTTATATTTTGTTACTATAAATATTAAATAAAAGTGTTTTGAAATATGTATATGTTTTTAATTGTTTCATTTAGCAGATAAACATTGAATTTATAATAATAATAATTTTTATTTATAAGAAAAGAATCCTACACAAAAAATATTGTTAGATAAATAGAAAAAACCTAGTTAAAAATAAAAATTTATTGAGTTCTTGCTGAGGATTGTGTTCCTGACTGACTGAAGAAACGCCATCATAAATTTTCATCAGCGTTCTCAGCATATAATCACATTCACCGATAGGGGAAAGGTAGCGGACCCAAGTTTGACCCCTGAGGAACTCCCAAGGTAGCTGTTATAAGTGTAATGACATGACCTATAGATATGAATACAATTTAGAATTTTCAGGAGAATTCATTGATAAATACAGGAAGGTTACGGACGTAACATACAAAAGAACATTCCTGACTTTTTTTAGGACGCTAAAATCCATCATTTGTTACAGTAGACATTTTTACTTTGTCTATGTCAAACAACTTATTTGCACAATGAATATTATTCCAAACGTTAACACTCTGTATTTCGAAAACTAAGCCATATATAGGTATATATTTACTAATACCTATATAATTATATTATAATAAAAACTGTTGTTTTTTTTTAATTTTCGCACGTTTTATACACTCACATTTTTCTTCAAACTGCCCATTACTCATTTTTATAAGGTGATCATATCTTCCACAAAAATTGACCATTATCATTGGAATTTCATTCCTTGCAATAAATATTTTTCCGAAGAGTTTACTTTATTTGTTAACTTCGGTACGGTTAAACACACACCTTAAATTTAGGTATTTGTTTTGGCATGAGTAAACAATCCTGTGTCATGAATTTTATGCGAATAATCCCATCCTTATGGACTGTTTCGAGAAGCCCTCTTACGTACGAACGCTTTTAATTAACTCTTCAGCTAAAAGTGTATATAAGTGAAAAATCCTTCAG